AGGCCCCCCACCATGGTGTTGGGGCTCTGCAGCCGGGGCAGGGGGCTTTCCCCACCCCACCCCTCCGAGGCCAAGGGCCTGCAGTACCCATGGGAGAGGTGGAGACAGGGGAAAATTCCCTGAACGGGGGTAAATTCGCATGCATGCTCAGGCAGGTAGGTGTCCCCACACGCAGATGGGGCTGCACACTGGCACATATGGCTGCATACACCCATACGTGTGTGCACGTGTGTGCACATGCATAAATGCATGCAGATACATGGCTGCATGTGCAGACATGCATGCACACCTATGTGCATGCACATGCATAAACGAACTCATGCAGATTCATGCGTGCACGTGTGTGCACACACCTGCACACACACAGACATGCGTGCACAGGTATTCATGCCTGCACACACACTGTGCATGCACACATACCTGCATGCACACATCTATATGCCTGCAGCCGCACTGAGGCTCCCAGCATAGGAAGCAACATCCCCACCCTCCTCCCAGTCACGGAGAGCGAGCTGCCATCCTGCTGCCCCAGCCCTGCTCTGCAGGGGACAGGCACCTTGGGGTCGCACTGGCTCCCTCGACCCCTCAGTGCCACCCTGACTGCACAGCAGGGACAAAGCAGGCACCTCCCTGCATGTCCTCACATGTCCCTGGCACTAGCCGTGCCCTGCAGCCAGGCTGCCATCCTCCCAGTAGGCTGCTCTTAGCGTCACTTAGTCTAAGTGCACTTGGCTGCCTGGCATCATCAGAGCTGTGACAAGCCCTGCTTTAGCTCAGCCGACGCTGTCCCCAGGCGTGCTGGCAGAGGGGATCCTGGCTGTCCCCAGGCGTGCTGGCAGGAAGGTGGCCTGTGGGTCTCCACTGTCCCCAGGTGTGCTGGCAGAGGGGATCTCTGCTGTCCCCAGGTGTGCTAGCAGAGAGGTGGCCCATGGGTGCCCACTGTCCCCAGGTGTGCTGGCGGGGAGGTGGCCCATGGGTGCCCACTGTCCCCAGGTGTGCTGGCAGAGGGGATCCCTGCTGTCCCCAGGCGTGCTAGCAGAGAGGTGGCCCATGGGTGCCCACTGTCCCCAGGTGTGCTGGCAGAGGGGATCCCTGCTGTCCCCAGGCGTGCTAGCAGAGAGGTGGCCCATGGGTGCCCACTGTCCCCAGGTGTGCTGGCAGAGGGGATCCCTGCTGTCCCCAGGCGTGCTAGCAGAGAGGTGGCCCATGGGTGCCCACTGTCCCCAGGTGTGCTGGCAGAGGGGATCCCTGCTGTCCCCAGGCGTGCTAGCAGAGAGGTGGCCCATGGGTGCCCACTGTCCCCAGGTGTGCTGGCAGAGGGGATCCCTGCTGTCCCCAGGCGTGCTAGCAGAGAGGTGGCCCATGGGTGCCCACTGTCCCCAGGTGTGCTGGCAGAGGGGATCCCTGCTGTCCCCAGGCGTGCTAGCAGAGAGGTGGCCCATGGGTGCCCACTGTCCCCAGGTGTGCTGGCAGAGGGGATCCCTGCTGTCCCCAGGCGTGCTAGCAGAGAGGTGGCCCATGGGTGCCCACTGTCCCCAGGTGTGCTGGCAGAGGGGATCCCTGCTGTCCCCAGGCGTGCTAGCAGAGAGGTGGCCCATGGGTGCCCACTGTCCCCAGGTGTGCTGGCAGAGGGGATCCCTGCTGTCCCCAGGCGTGCTAGCAGAGAGGTGGCCCATGGGTGCCCACTGTCCCCAGGTGTGCTGGCAGAGGGGATCCCTGCTGTCCCCAGGCGTGCTAGCAGAGAGGTGGCCCATGGGTGCCCACTGTCCCCAGGTGTGCTGGCAGAGGGGATCCCTGCTGTCCCCAGGCGTGCTAGCAGAGAGGTGGCCCATGGGTGCCCACTGTCCCCAGGTGTGCTGGCAGAGGGGATCCCTGCTGTCCCCAGGCGTGCTAGCAGAGAGGTGGCCCATGGGTGCCCACTGTCCCCAGGTGTGCTGGCAGAGGGGATCCCTGCTGTCCCCAGGCGTGCTAGCAGAGAGGTGGCCCATGGGTGCCCACTGTCCCCAGGTGTGCTGGCAGAGGGGATCCCTGCTGTCCCCAGGCGTGCTAGCAGAGAGGTGGCCCATGGGTGCCCACTGTCCCCAGGTGTGCTGGCAGAGGGGATCCCTGCTGTCCCCAGGCGTGCTAGCAGAGAGGTGGCCCATGGGTGCCCACTGTCCCCAGGTGTGCTGGCAGAGGGGATCCCTGCTGTCCCCAGGCGTGCTAGCAGAGAGGTGGCCCATGGGTGCCCACTGTCCCCAGGTGTGCTGGCAGAGGGGATCCCTGCTGTCCCCAGGCGTGCTAGCAGAGAGGTGGCCCATGGGTGCCCACTGTCCCCAGGTGTGCTGGCAGAGGGGATCCCTGCTGTCCCCAGGCGTGCTAGCAGAGAGGTGGCCCATGGGTGCCCACTGTCCCCAGGTGTGCTGGCAGAGGGGATCCCTGCTGTCCCCAGGCGTGCTAGCAGAGAGGTGGCCCATGGGTGCCCACTGTCCCCAGGTGTGCTGGCAGAGGGGATCCCTGCTGTCCCCAGGCGTGCTAGCAGAGAGGTGGCCCATGGGTGCCCACTGTCCCCAGGTGTGCTGGCAGAGGGGATCCCTGCTGTCCCCAGGCGTGCTAGCAGAGAGGTGGCCCATGGGTGCCCACTGTCCCCAGGTGTGCTGGCAGAGGGGATCCCTGCTGTCCCCAGGCGTGCTAGCAGAGAGGTGGCCCATGGGTGCCCACTGTCCCCAGGTGTGCTGGCAGAGGGGATCCCTGCTGTCCCCAGGCGTGCTAGCAGAGAGGTGGCCCATGGGTGCCCACTGTCCCCAGGTGTGCTGGCAGAGGGGATCCCTGCTGTCCCCAGGCGTGCTAGCAGAGAGGTGGCCCATGGGTGCCCACTGTCCCCAGGTGTGCTGGCAGAGGGGATCCCTGCTGTCCCCAGGCGTGCTAGCAGAGAGGTGGCCCATGGGTGCCCACTGTCCCCAGGTGTGCTGGCAGAGGGGATCCCTGCTGTCCCCAGGCGTGCTAGCAGAGAGGTGGCCCATGGGTGCCCACTGTCCCCAGGTGTGCTGGCAGAGGGGATCCCTGCTGTCCCCAGGCGTGCTAGCAGAGAGGTGGCCCATGGGTGCCCACTGTCCCCAGGTGTGCTGGCAGAGGGGATCCCTGCTGTCCCCAGGCGTGCTAGCAGAGAGGTGGCCCATGGGTGCCCACTGTCCCCAGGTGTGCTGGCAGAGGGGATCCCTGCTGTCCCCAGGCGTGCTAGCAGAGAGGTGGCCCATGGGTGCCCACTGTCCCCAGGTGTGCTGGCAGAGGGGATCCCTGCTGTCCCCAGGCGTGCTAGCAGAGAGGTGGCCCATGGGTGCCCACTGTCCCCAGGTGTGCTGGCAGAGGGGATCCCTGCTGTCCCCAGGCGTGCTAGCAGAGAGGTGGCCCATGGGTGCCCACTGTCCCCAGGTGTGCTGGCAGAGGGGATCCCTGCTGTCCCCAGGCGTGCTAGCAGAGAGGTGGCCCATGGGTGCCCACTGTCCCCAGGTGTGCTGGCAGAGGGGATCCCTGCTGTCCCCAGGCGTGCTAGCAGAGAGGTGGCCCATGGGTGCCCACTGTCCCCAGGTGTGCTGGCAGAGGGGATCCCTGCTGTCCCCAGGCGTGCTAGCAGAGAGGTGGCCCATGGGTGCCCACTGTCCCCAGGTGTGCTGGCAGAGGGGATCCCTGCTGTCCCCAGGCGTGCTAGCAGAGAGGTGGCCCATGGGTGCCCACTGTCCCCAGGTGTGCTGGCAGAGGGGATCCCTGCTGCAGCTGACCTTCTCATGGGAGCGGAGCAATTCCTCCATCCGCTTCCCGCCCAGGGAAACTGAGGCACGGCAGGGCAGGGCGTTCAGCCCAAGCCCATTCCCGCTGCTAGAACCAGCCAGGGCTGTGTGGGGTGGAGAAGAACGTTTTGCCGTGCACTGGGTGCAAGGAGGACAGTGCCCAGCCTTGGGGCCTGGCGCTGAGCAGAGCCCTTGGACACCAGGGTCCCTGCATGAGCTGTGCAGGCCCGGCTGGCAGAGCGGGCCCCTTGGCGAGGTTTTAGAGCAGTCGAGCGATGCTTGGGAATGGAGCTGAGTCTCAGCATCTCGTTTCATTGATGGCCTAGGGGTTCCTCTTGCAAACTGAACTGTAGCAGGTCTGGCCTGGCACCCTTCACCCTTTAAATACCAGGGTGCAAGGGTGCCGTGTGGATGCAAGGGGGAGGCAGGCTGCTGCTGCTGCTGGCCCTTGAGCCTGCCTGGGCCTGCGTTTGGGCATGTGCTGTGCGCCCGGAGCTGCACATCTCGATGTGGCTGTATGCCTGCCCACGGTGGTGTCTGCGTGTATGTATGTCCGTGTGTCCCTGGGTCTGTGCATCCCTGTGTTCATGTGTCTGTGCATCCCTGTGTCTGTGCACCTGTGTGTCCATGTACCTGTGCATCGCGCATCCATGCGTCTGGGTCCGAGCGCCCATGCGTCCCTGCATCCTTGTGTCTGTCCATTCGTGTCTGTGCATCTGTGTATCCGTGAATCTGTGTATCCATGCGTCCATGCGTGTGTGTGTCCGTGCAGCCATGTGTCTGTGCATCCGTGTGTCCGTGCATGTGACACTTGGGATGGTAGATCCAGGCTCCGGCAGGCTGCAGGGTGCTGGTAGCTGTGCACGCAGGGTGCCAGCTCGCCCTGCTGGAGCGAGCGCAGCCCTCGGCTCGCTGGCCGGGGCCAAAGGCTCCTTGCAGCGCCGCAGCC